CCGCCGAGGTCACCCTTCCCTCTCCTTCCCCCATCTAAACCCTAATCCACGCCACCTCTGGTACCTTCGTCTTCGCCCGCTCCTCATGGTAGAAATAGAAGCTTTTGCTCGATCTGATCATTCGTCTCGCCGCGATCCATACAAATCGGTTGGTTTTAGTTCGTTGAAGAGTTGGGCAGGGCTGATCGGGTGTATCTGCATAGTCATCGCAAGAAAAGAAAAATGCATTTGCACTGTCACAGTACAATAAGTGGGTAATTAAGTTTTTACTTCTTGTTAACTGTGGTTTACTAGAGGGATTAATGGAATTGGTGTTGAATAAATGTACCTGAGTTGTGACCATGTAGGAGATAAAGATAGTTCGGTCAAATGCCGATTTTTTGTTTGGCCCTTGACATTGGTGGAGGCGCATGATTGTTTTCCTGCGGTCCTTGATTTTTTAATAGTGATTGATTTGATTGTTGAGCTATGTGGATAAATGGTTGGTCCGGTGTGGGCTCTGTGATGTCTTCGCTTAGCTGTGTCTTAACCTGGTCTTGCCAGTATCCTTTTGGTGTACTTGGCATCAGGGGCGGAGCCAGGGGGGGACGAACAGGGGCCTGGCCCCCCTCAATGATCCACAATTTTAGTAGGAGTGACGAGTAATTACCAACGAGATTAGATCAATATACGTATTCGGCCCTCCCTATACTCAAATCCTGGCTCCGCCACTGCTTGGCATGTTCAATGTTCACTATTGTTTTTTTTTTGTGTGTTAAAATTACTCGGTCATGGCTGATGGGCCTGGCCTGCTCATCCTTCAAATTTTATTGTATATTTTTTAAAGTTTTTATTGATTGGCGCCAGTGAACAAATAGGAACATTTAGTTCGTGAACATGCAAGATGCCAGCACTGACTTATTCTGAAAAGAATTGGCATGTTTTGTTTTAATTGTCTTTGGAGTATATTGTAAAGGTTCTGGACAGCTTAGCTGAATAATAATTTATCAGGCTGATGTCCTATCAAACCTCGATGTGACACTGTTGGCATGCCACTAGTGTCGACATTTGTGCTGCCAAACTCGTCAATTAATTTCTATTTTCTAGTATTTCAGTATTTCAGAAAAACCTGATGATGAAGGTTAATGCAAATATTGCAATATTATCTCCCGTCCTCTCCTGGACTGTTGGACATAGGAACACACGTTCTTCTGCACAATGGGGGGCAAATCTGTTGGACGACATCATACTTATTTGAGTTGTTTCATTAAACCAGTTTCCATCTCTTTGCTTTGGCAGTACAAACTGAAGTGTGATCTAGTCTGAAGTAATTACGGCTGTATGGTTAGCTCAGTGCCTGAGTAGTAAAACTTCATATAAATCTATGTTTATAATCTTATCTAGTTGAGCTTGAGCCAGTCCTGAAGCAGATATGTCTTCATTAAGGGCATGCTTTCGAGGAATTGATGTACAATACAAAAAGTATCAGTAACAGTTTCCCTACCATAAGGGTAATACCGCGTTGCTTGATTATCCATCCAACTGAACAGGCATAAAATCCCAGTGTCTCTGTATATGATTTTTTTGAACTTATGTGTATAAATGCATTCAACACCTCTCGGTTTCTTTGTTATCAGGTATACTTGTATGGAGGCCAAGTAACCTCTTGGAAAAATAACTCTGGAGAACAACAGCTATTTCTCAGTAAGAAGGTACTCATATATTTAGTTTTGATAAACGGATATTCTGTGGACCAATTGTTCTCTGGAGCGCCTTCTGCATTCATCTTTTGCCTATACTTCATCATGCATTTCAATTTTTTTCCTTTGCAGGCTTCTTTCAAACCACCAAAAGCGATTCGTGGGGGCATACAAATTTGTTTTCCTCAAGTATGCTCCTCCTGCTGTTAGTAGTCTAGTTATGCTTTTCCAATATATTAGTACCCAAATGAGCATTACCATCATGCAGTTAGGGAACCACGGAGTTCTTGAACAGCATGGATTCGCGAGGAACCGACTTTGGAGTGTTGATGAGAGTCCTCCTCTTCCAGATACCACTTCTGATTGTCATATTGACTTGATACTCAAGCAGTCTGAAGAAGATATGAAGACCTGGCCACACAGGTTTGTGTCTAGTAAATATTAAATTCCTTGTTCCCATGTTAAATTGATGATGTTGATTATCCTTACATTGCAGTTATGAACTTCGTTTGCAAGTTGCTCTTAGTCCGAGGGGAGATCTGATCCTCACATCTCGAATAAAAAATAAGAATGCTGATGGCAAGCCATTCCAATTTACTTTTGCATACCACACATACTTTTCAGTCTCTGATATCAGGTACCTTTTGGAATGTTACTTTATTTCCTAATTTTTTTGTTTGTATTAACTTGTATTTGTATTTCCTGAAATTATTTTGTTGGGAAGGACTGACTGTACCTTCTATAGCATTTTCTGTAGTGCTGAGTCATGTTGAATGAGCCATTTTAGGATTCAATACTTCAGCACTATTTCAATTGCAGAATAGATACACTTGCAAATGAACAACTTGGCTATTACACATTTTTTTGTACTTAGGCACTATTTTAGGATTTAATATTTTGTTCTCTGAAGCATGTGTTTCACATTCCAGCGAAGTACGGGTTGAGGGTTTGGATACCTTGGACTATCATGATAATCTACAATCTAAGATTCGTTGTACTGAACAAGGCGATGCAGTTGTATTCGAATCTGAAGTAAGCTTTGTATATGCTTCATATTATGGGGCCACTGTGGTAAGTCACTAACTGTGTTGAACGTTGATTATGAAGGTGGACAGGATATATCTAAGTGCCCCACCCAAGATTGTGACAATTGACCATGAGAAAAAAAGGACATTCGTATTAAGGAAAAAGGAACTTCCTGATGTTGGTGAGTTAGCTTCATTTTTCTTTCTAAATTGAGCACACTCCATACTATGGAAACATGAGTGGTTACTTTGGCATTTGATTTTGTTTACTTCCATGGTCTGTCGTCGTTAAATACTCGGTTGGTGGGCATGTGCCAGTGCCAATCCGCCCACCAGAGTTAGACTCTGCATGAGGTGGAATGTATTCTGCGCCGTGCGGTGACTGGTGTCAGGTTGTTTTTCTCTAAACGATGCCACCAGGTGCTAGTGCCTGGTTGGTCGAGTTGTTTTTTGTGGTGTGTCATCGCTATATTTCCTTTGATTGCAGTTGTTTGGAACCCATGGGACAGGAAAGCAAAAGCAATGCCAGATTTTGGTGCCGAGGAGTACAAGTGCATGCTGTGTGTAGGGGCTGCACGTATTGAGAAGCCAATTACTTTAAGGCCTGGTGAAGAGTGGCAAGGAAGGCAGGAAATTTCCCCTGTGCCATCCAGTTACAGCAGTGGACTGTTGGATCCTGAAATGATTCAACAGATGCAACGTATCTAGATCTTTTGGTGGTTGAAATGCTATGTAAGTGTTCTGTGGTATTGCCTAGCGTAGTCTGTTCTGAACTTTAAGCTTAGATCATTGCATGTACTTCACCTGCTTACTTTTATTATTCATGAACTCCATTTACGAAATATTATGATGGGCTGGTTGCTACAGAATAATTCATGACTGGATAGTGAATTCTTGAGTATGTTTTAAAATTAATTTTACTAGTTTTTAGCGCAGTAATTGAAATAGTTTTAAGAATGGAATCTAGTATCTCTCATATCAAAGTATTTTATCCTAGCAGAACTTAGTATTCTCATTTTGCCAGCGCTCCTTCAAATGATAGTTTGTTATTGCAGAGAATACGGCTGAAGAATGATTTGCGCATCTTTAATATATTTCCAATTTTGGTGAACAGCATGCCTTTTATCATGGTGTTCGCGAGAACTTAGGGTCCGAGTTTGATTTGCAAACTATCAGCAGTTTTGATTCATACAAGATGCTGTAGTTATAGAAAGATGCCTTGTGGGTTGAACCAGTATTAGCTGTTTGGCTTGCACCAAAATAGTTTTTGTTAAAGAAATTCTGCGCTTGTCTAATGTTCACTTTTCTTTGGCTGCAGGAAGTCTCTTCAGTGTCAATAAGATAATCTGAATGTTCTTCATCCAACTTCCAGCTTTCTTTTTTGTGTACAATTCCAAAGTAGCCTGTGGTTTTTCTGGAGCAGCACTGGAGTTGAAATCTCCATCGTGATTTAAAGGAGACAGAGAATTTTTGTCTATCTTTAGGGACTTTATGTACATTCATAATCAGTCACTTTACATTACACCATTTTTCCCCCTATTATAGGAAGCTGATTTGAAACTGCACAAATAGTATGGTGTCAATTTTGAGTTGTCTCGTGTCATATTACAGCACTTTACCTGTATGGTGTGTAATACTCCCTCCGTTCACTATTATAAGAGGTTTGGATATTTGAATATGGCTACATACGGACTGAAATGAGTGAACAAACACACTGAAACATGTCGACATACATCTGATTCAGAAAAAAGTTAGAACATATAATACTGAGCGCAGGGAGTATTTGTGTGTTTACTATCCCTTTTCTGTTATTTTGAGAAAACGGGGAAAACAGAGCTGCTATTCTATTTAGTTACAAACTGTTGCCTCGCATCAAATTCAGGTATAATGAGATGAGCCCTAATTCTGATTTTAAATGTATAGTATATGCCTATTCCATGCCACAAGCACACAAGATCAGAGCTTGAAATTTGTAGCATCGTCACACGGATTAAGCCACAGTCTGCCGCCTTTGATTCATTCCACAACAAAGCAGGGAAAGCAATACAAACAGCAGAAGCCAGCAGGCGAGATGCCCCTGACCGATTCTTCCCAGCCCCATCTAACATCTTACAGGTGAACATCATTCTCTGTACATCTCACCAGATGGTAGCAGCAGGCTTATTGGAGATTATTAGATGGCGCAGTGTCGCCGCTATCTGCGCCAGAGTTCAGTCGCGGGGCTCACCGCGCCACGCATTTTCCGACGTTCCAGAACGACGCCCTCCAGAACGTGGCCCGCCGCCGCGGCGGCTTCTCAGGCGCCGCCGGCCTGTGGCCGAGGGCATGTTTCTCCGAGCTCAGCATGTTCCACATCACCTGAACATCGTCGTATCCGCAGGTTTGCACGTCCCTGTGCAGGTCCACCACCCCTGTGCTCCCTGCGCCCGGTTTGCCAACAAAAATGGTTAGTGTTGTTTCCTAGTAGAAAATACAAGCTTTCATGTGGTAGAAAATGCGTCGCTCCTAGTTTTGTAAGACTACATTTGGCTAGCAAAAATAATAAAATGAGAAATTCAAAGTACACAAACACTGATAGTCTATAAAAAAACCTGTTCATTGGCTTAGTACCATGTATATGTCCAAATAGGCCGTTATAAGCAAAGGCAGCATAGGTTTAGTACCAGCAGCATTGTAATGCTCGCCCTTGATTTTACTTTATGCATGGACCTGTTCTTTCCTTGGCACATTTGTCTATTTATATTTCGGGAAAACATATACTACTGCTGCTGTAATTTTATAAGAACTATAGTATACAAAGTGCAGCAACTTAGTTCAAATTTGAACTGAAGCCATGGCAGGTGTATTTTGAAACGGAGGGATAGTACTAGTCTTCCCTTTATTGGGATCGATCGAGGAACTAACGCAAATTAATTCAGAGATAATTCGTTGCAGAAACGATGGAGGTCGGTTTGCTGGGCGCTAGGTAGCTGCACTTACTGCGGTTCTGCGCCCGCCGCGCCACGGCGAGCCAGGCCCGCCGCACCGGCGCGACAACCCTCTCGCGCCACCATGCCATGGTTGGCCGGCGACGAAGCGCGGCGCGACCTGCTCCCTTCCTCGTAGCCCGCCACGGACAACTGACAGCTAGCTCTCTCTCTGTCTCTCTGCGATGATGCTTCCTGGGCGCCTTCTAGCCATTTCCGCCGGTAGCCAGGCCTTATATAGGACGGGGTCTACTACTACTGTCTGCTGCTGGCGATCGAGTCCCACGGGGACGGGCCTGTGATCTCTGATCGGTTGGCTGCGGTTCGGCCCGGATTCGATGAGATTCGCTTCCCGGGTCCATGTGATTCGTTTACAGGGTCGTCGGGGCCTCTGATTGGGCGCGCCGTGCGTGCGATCGCCCGTGGAGGTTCACGTGGCGCAAATGCGCTGTACTAGGAACGACTGCGGGTTTTTTTTTTTTGGTTTATTTAGACAAGGTTTTTCCTTTTTTGTTGGAACCGGGCGCTAATTAAAAAGCGCTCATTCGGGAGCCTCGCAACGATCACCGCCACTTGGCACACTCTCAGCCATTCGTTACGTGTCGGGTGCTCCCTCCGAAATTTGTTTTTTTTATTTTTTCGCACGCGTTTTCTGCTTTTAAAACGGTTTTTGCCGGGTCTTTTTGACGTTTTGATTTTTCACCGGTCTTTCCTAACTTTTCGACAAAAAAAATTGCGCAAAAAAACACTTTTTTTTCCGCGAAAGCCACGGTTTGCTTCCGCGAGAGGCACAGTTTTGCTTTCGCGAAAAACACGGTTGTGCTTTCGCGAGAGTCACGACCGTGCCTCTTGAAAACGGGAAAAAACACGGTTTTTGTTTTTTTCCTTTCGCGAGAGTCACGATTTTGCTTCCGTGAGAGGCACGGTTGTGCTTTCGCGAGAGTCACGGCCGTGCCTCTCGAAAACGAAAAAAAAACGCGTTTTCTATTATTATTTTTCGCAAGAGTCACGGTTTTGCTTCTGCGAGAGGCACGGTTGTGCTTTTGTGAGAGTCATGGTCGTGCCTCCCCGAAAACAAAAAAATGGGTTTTCTGTTTTTTCACGAGAGGCACGGTTATGATTTCATCAGAGGCACGGGCGTGCCTCTTTTAGAAAGGGAAAAAACCTATGCTTCCGGTTCGGTTTTTTCGTTTGGTTTTTTTTGTGAAAAAATGTTCGTCAAAACCTATCAACATTGGATCTAGTTTTGAAGATCTTGACGCGAGGAATCCAACGACGAAAGCGGTTCAAGATTTGAACGCATGGTTTAAGAGATAAAACATTTTGAATAAACGGATCTACGAAAAAAGGAAAAACTCCCAGGTTGCAACAAATGGCGCACATTCAACCGGAAGAAGTTAAAATGATCTTCGCAGGGAGTACTCGGCCATCATAGAGATTTTGTTTCTGGACACGGACGGGCGCCAGACTAGCCCATTGGTCTGGCCTGGCAAAGGCTTACCGCTCATCGATCCCGGGCCTCGTCTATCCAGAAGGACAACGCACCAACTTTTGGGCCCGATCCAGCGCGCGAACAGCCCCGATGCCGGCCCGTTTCACGCAAAAAGGTTCTCCCTCTGACGAAAGATCAAAAAATAAACGAGGTGGAAAGAAATTCTGCATCCCGCGACTGACTCCCACCACTGCACGTCCACACCGGTCATCTGTCCTCCATGCTCTTTACTTTTCACCTGCCTCTGCCTGCCAAGTGCACGCGAGACAGATTGTCAAAAAAAAAAAAGTGCACGCGAGACACATCCACCATTCCTGGCAGAGCGCCGTAGAACCCGAACCCGAGCCAAACGACCAGGCCAGGTCGGTCGGTCTTGCTTTGATGCTTCTTTCATTTAGCAGCAGGCCCGCTCGTTTACTTACGTAGGACCCTCCGTCTTCTGGCTCCTCCGTGTTCATCTTTATCTTCTTTACAGGCAACGACGAACGCAACCAAGCGCGGGCAGAGCAGAGCACCCTGGCGCTACACGAGAATAAAAGCGCAGCGTGCACTGCCGCTGCCTTCTTCTCGGTCGACACACTGGCAGAGCCCGGATGGCCAGATGCAGTTGGTCCGGATAAGATGGCTGACGTGGATCGGGCCAATTAGTAAGTTGCGGCAGTGGTGCAGCCTGGAAGACGAAGTTTTGCATGCGAGTGGATTCGTTGATTCAATCGCACGGCAACGCCGCATCGTTCTGCTTTCTGCGTGAGGTTGGGTCTTCCAGGCGTGAAAGTGATTAAGTGTTTTTTTTTAAAACAAGACAAAAGGCTTGCCATTTCCATTAATAAAGAAGAGGGTTTAAAACAAGGATCCCTGGAGAGGGTAAAAAAAGTCCATCTCTCTCGCGGCATTACAACGCCCAAGTTTTTCGCTCCCGCCATCACCCATAATCTAACTTCCTTCTTAATGTTTCGCACTAGCACCGTGGTGGGGGTTGCCGAGTTGCGGAAAACTCTCGCGCTGCGCTCCTTCCAAATCTCCCAAGAGACGAGCATCAAAAGGGAGGTCATCGCTGACCGCGAAGGGGCCCTCGATGGGCGATCCGGAGCCACCGGTCTTTCACCGAAGTAGCAGTGCTCCACTCCGTAGGGATGACGTCTTGAAGCCCAAGCCATTGGACAACGTCGCACCACACCCTTACAGAAAAAAGACAGTGGCAAAGAAGATACATGGAGGATTCTACGGTTTGCTTACAGAGGGGACAAAGACCGCAAATTGGCCATCCACGGCGCTCGAGTCTACCAGCAGTCCAAATTCTATTTTGCATCACGAGCCAGGCGAAAAATTTGCATTTCGGCGGTGCCCAAGATTTCCAAACAGTCACATGCATGGGCGAGCGTGTGTCCTTCAAATTGCGCATTGTAGGCTGACTTAGCTGAGTAGGTGCCGTCCATAGTGAATTTCCAAGTAATCCTATGAAAGGCATCAGCAACAAGATGAGTGGCACTGATCTTCTCCCAAAGGGAGGCGAACTGTTGAATGTGTTCCAGGGAGAGACCTTGGTGCAGATTAATTTGACTCACCCATAAGTTGTTTTGCAAGGCTTCCTGAACCGTCGACTTTTTCTTTCTGGAACACTCAAAAATTTTGGGAGCAACATCTTCCGTCCTCCAACCGTCAAGCCAAGAGGACTCCCAAAAAAGAGTAGTAGCTCCATCTCCAATGGTGACGGTCGTGGCTGTGGCGAAGAGGACCTTGTCCACCTCGGTACATGGGTTTTCCAGACCAATCCAGAGTTTCGATGGTTCGGTCCAACGGAGCCAAAGCCATCTAATCCTAAGGGTCGAAGCGAATTTCTCCAAATTTAGAATTCCAAGGCCTCTGAGTGATTTGGGCTTGCACACCAGCTCCCAATTCACTTTACTCTTGCCACCTGACACCTTTGTCACAGCCAGCCCACAAGTAAGCATGATAGAGCTTGTCAATATATTCCCGGACCTCAACCGAGAGCTCTAGCGGTGTCAGAAAGTAGATGGCAACGAACTGTCACTAACTGACGAGAACAATAAATGCTAGTAGCATCTGCCCCTCCGTTCCTGAATACTCCCTCCATTCAACGGAGAGAGTATGAAATAAAATGAATGAATCTACGCTTTACGCTTTAAAATATGTCTATATATATCCATATGTGAGTCGTGTTAAAATCTCTAAAAGGTCTTTTATATATATTTAGAAACGGAGGCAGGGTTACGGTAATTTTCCTTCTGAATATGCTTACTTAAACCACTCGCTTGGGGATTGGGAATGTGGCTAAGTAGATATGATTCTTCTTCTTTTCTTGTCTTTTAAGTTTACTATTGGGAAGTGCATGACCAGACTGATGACAACAGCTACCATTATCTACAGATAAAAACTAACTACTCAACTTTTAGCTACGTGCAAGGGGCACTTTTCTAGCTAGATGAAGTGTGAGCGGGGTGCAGGTTGGGATGGCATCATCTTCGTCGCTCGTCAGTGTACGCATCCATGCACGTCCTGATACGCCGAGAGTACAGACATGACGATGCAACGGAGGCAGTGGAGAATTTAAGAGTGTTCAGTGGAAGCTGACGCGAACTTAATTACACCCGCGTTGCAACGAAACCGGTCGGAAGTTTCCTCGTTCTATGCATAGTTGACGCCCTTGACCGGTTGACGCTCACTGCATGAATATGCGTGCAAGTTTTTGTTCTCCATTTCTTTTTAAGGCTGGTCATAGTGGGAAGTAATTTAGACTAGTAACCTAGTATGTGTTACTATCTCTATAGTGCATAGTAGTATCATAGATTTGTATCATAGATGAGCTCGGGTGCAGATTAGCCGCGTCCCACATTTATTATGTTACGGTATCTACCTATGTTACTATGATCATGTCTCTCTTCTTTAATTGCCTGCCACATAAGCATGTTTGTGAGTCCCAAGTAAATGATGCTACTTATGTTACTCCCATCATGGCCAGCCTAACTCAAATTCAACAGGAAGCGGCACCTAGTGGGAGACCGTCGGTGACCGTTGGAGCAACTCTAGTAGAGTTGTTGTATATGCCATCATCGTCTGCCCTTGATTTCTTTTTAAATGAGTAATACATCAGTCTCTACATCAAACAATGCACATAACTATTTTATTAAATAAAGTCATCGGTCCTTAATCGTTGTGTGCAAACACAAAGTCACTACAACATGACATTAAAAAATTCTACTCTCTCAAAATAGATTTGCAACACTTTTTTTGGGTCAGATGGAGAATTTTTCTTGTAGGGGCAATTGAAGCTCCAATTAGTCTAACTGAACACATGTATCAACACGATAACTTGATATCAACTATATTTGTTGGCCAAGATATGTCGTTTTACATGTAATAGTGATTTAAAATGTTGTTTAAAGACATTTTAAAAATATAAGCAATGTGGTTATTCGAGCGACATTGCTACCTTGTAACCTATATTAGTTGGTGTATAGTGTTGTATATTCTTCGTCCTCCACCTCATCGCCGTTCTCCTCCTCCTCCTTCAAGAGATATTCGTAGTATGCGTAAGGATCAAACTCATGAGCGGCATCCGTGAGCAGCCGCTCCTCCTCC